TGAGGAATAAAAAGGGAATTCCACCTGGAGGGAATCTCCAACATCGAAGTCCTGAAGGCTGGGAGTGTTAGTGCAGGCTGCAGGTGCACACGGAAGGGTGTGGGGAGCTACATAAAAAGGGAATTCCACCTGGAGGGAATCTCCAACATCCAAGTCCTGAAGGCTGGGAGTGTTAGTGTCAGGCTGCAGGTGCACACGGAAGGGTGTGGGAAGCTATTGGACAGGAGATATGGGTGGAGACAAACTGATTGGAATGCCAATCAGACAACCTGTGCTTTAATCAATGGGCACAGGGGAGTCATAGAAGGTTAATGAGCAGAGGAGTGATATGTGCATTTGGAAGAGTTAATCTAGCAATTGGGGGAGAGGGTGTAGAATGATTATAAGACAAGAAAGAACAAGGGCTAAGAGACTCTTACAATAAAAGGGGGAGGGCAAGGACACACAGCAAGTGAGAGACAGAGTTGGGATGTGAAGCTAGAGCGTTTCTGATTCCCAAGTGTCCTGGCTGTTGAAATAAAAAAAAGGGCTAGCACTAGGCTGGGTGGGTGGCTGAATCCTAGATGGGCTGAGGAATAAAAAGGGAATTCCACCTGGAGGGAATCTCCAACATCGAAGTCCTGAAGGCTGGGAGTGTTAGTGCAGGCTGCAGGTGCACACGGAAGGGTGTGGGAAGCTATTGGACAGGAGATATGGGTGGAGACAAACTGATTGGAATGCCAATCAGACAACCTGTGCTTTAATCAATGGGCACAGGGGAGTCATGGAAGATTAATGAGCAGAGGAGTGATATGTGCATTAGGAAGAGTTAATCTAGCAATTGGGGGAGGAGGGGTGTAGAATGATTATAAGACAAGAAAGAACAAGGGCTAAGAGACTCTTACAATAAAAGGGGGAGGGTAAGGGGCAAGGGACTTGTTTTTGGTTTGCCCCTCTTCTAGAATCAGTATGCACCCCCACCCCCCACACTCTTCCCTTTGGAAGCCACCCTCTGTCTCCTGGTCTGGGTGTTGGGTGGGGCTGCCCTCACCCACTCCAGGGGTGGGCACTGACCCAGGTGTAGGCAGCCAGTCCCAGGGATTGGCTCAGGATGGGCACATGAACCCAGCCAGGCTAAAGAGAGTTTGGAGACTCCCGAAATCATTGGCAAAGGGGCTCTGTCTCCCCAGTGGGGTGGCTCTATCCATGGCCTGGAAGCTGGGGCAGCTGGTGGCCATCTATCATCACTCAGGGGGAGCCTACTCTCTTGACCACAGGAAGGGTGGTAAAGGAGGAAGGCAGAGCTGGGAGGAAAGGGGGCTTGAGTTTAGGCATCCTCACCTGAAGTAGCACTTCCCTGGACTTGCTATGGACCAATCAATTTTTTTGCTTAAGCCAGTGGTTCTCAACCTTGGCTGCACATTAGAATCACCTGGGATTTTAAAATCCTGATTTCTGGTGGGTGGGCCTCATCCTCCGGAAATTCTTAGGGCAGTGGTTCTCAACCTTGGCTGCACATTAGAATCACCTGGGAATCTTTTTAAAATCCTGATTTCTGGGCCTCATCCTCCGGAAATTCTGTTTCTTTGTTATGGGGTGGGGCCCCCCACCCCATAACAAAGAAACAGAATTTCCGGAGGATGAGGCCCAGAAATCAGGATTTTAAAAAAAGATTCCCAGGTGATTCTAATGTGCAGCCAAGGTTGAGAACCACTGGCTTAAGCCAATCTGCACAGGGCTTCTCTCACTGCACCTGAAAGACCTCTGGCCACATGCACAGACTGAAGCATGGGGTGGAAGCAAGAGCAGAGATGGTGAACGGCTAGGGAAGGAGGAGGGGCCAGGTGTGTCCATGTGCCAGAAGAGCCAGTGCAGGGCCCCAGAGGGTCCAAATCCTGCCAGCAGAAAGAAATAGGAGAAAAGGGCGCAGAACTTTCCAGGAAACAGCTGCAGTGGACAAGGAGGCCAGGTTTGGGGGCTGAGGAGAGATGAGAGCGGGAGGCTGGACAGGCAGATTCCATTCTGGAAAATGCTAGGGAAGGACAGGAGAAGGAAGACAGTAGCCAGAGAGGAGAGAGGAGAAGGAGGGTGTTTCAGAGAAATAATGACTCAGGAGGGACTGTCAGAGAGGAGAAAGCCCAGGAGGAAACCCACACTCCCATCCCTACAGCCCCAGAGTGACGAGGCAGAGACCAGCTGCGCTTTGCAGACTTCCAAGTCCTCTGTGCACCTTGTGAGATGTTTGGGAACAGGACGCCTGTTCTAGAGGGACCCTCAGGCCTGTCAGGACACCTGGCTGGGAATTAGGGCCCCAAAGTGCCCTCCCTGCATCATGCAAATGGGCGAACATGTGTTTTGTAACTGCAAACAATCCCACAAGCTCCCATCAGAACCTGCTGGACCACTGAAGAAGCCTCAAGGCTTGGAGATGAGAATCTAAACCACTTCCTTAGAGTGAAGAGGCCAAGAGCATGGGCCTTGGAGCCAGTTTAGCTGTGTGATCTCAAGCAAGTCACTTAACCTCTCTGGGCTTTGTTTTGCACATCTGTGGAAGGAGAACAATCTCAGTAACAAAGACAAGGCGTGCCAAGTGCAGGGACTGATGGATAAAGTTATAGTTTGTGTTCCGATTCTTTTGACATTGGGTTAGGACAGCCGTGGGCAAACTACGGCCCGCGGGCCGGATCCGGCCAGTTTGAAATGAATAAAACTAAAAAAAAAAAAAAAGACCGTACCCTTTTATGTAATGATGTTTACTTTGAATTTATATTAGTTCACACAAACACTCCATCCATGCTTTTGTTTCGGCCCTCCGGTCCAGTTTAAGAACCCATTGTGGCCCTCGAGTCAAAAAGTTTGCCCACCCCTGGGTTAGGAGGACAGAGCAGTGGGAAGGAACAAGCTTTTCCGAGAGGAACCAGAGCAGACACTGCACCCATAACTCGCCTTTACATTTGTCCAACAGATGGACAAGGAAGGAAGGCGGACTTCAGCCAAAGCAGACGGAGCTTTCGGATCCCATGGTCCATTCATAAGATCAACAAGCCGAAGGGAAGGCATTTTTAGTTCGGCCGCCAGACACTCCCCACTCCCATGCCTGTGCTTGGGGGAAGGGTCAGCATAGAAAACCCACAAAGCCCAAGGGAGGAAGGAAGTGTTCTCTGACCCAAGCAAGTCCTTTCAGCTCTGCAGGCCCAAGGGCCAGGAGCATGTGTTAGGAATCTATTGACCGGATGGCCTGTCTTCCCCAGGTCACCTTCTCCTACTTGGTGGAGAGAACAATAGCTTCAGAGGGGGGGGGGGGGGGGGGGGGGGGGGGGGGGGGGGGGTGATGGATGGCCAGCAGGAGGAAAGAAGCTGCTAATTTACTGTCCCCAAGTTCAGGACGGAGGGAAGCCGGCCTGTGAGACAAAGCTTCAGAGCCGGCAAGGCAAAAAATACTGCTGAGTCTCCTAGTTGTGGACCCAATCGGGAGAAAGTCAAGAGTTTGCACTTATTCTACTTGCAAAAGCATCCGCTACTGTCATGGAAGGATGGAAGTGGTTGAGACAGGGCTCCTGAGTCCAGATCCTGACCCCACCCACTCTCTATAGAGGCCCTGTGCGCCTTATGAAATCTGAATTGTTATAGCATTTTATGCACCCAGTATTTTAAACCAATCCTTTAGAAAAGCAATGAGTGAATATCCCGAGGCAGCGCTCAGGGAGACATTTTAATTGGGAAAACATTAAAACACACACACACACACACACACACACACCCCAAAAACCCTAGTACTACTCAGCCCATAGCACACACTTCAAAAATATTATTTGAAATAGGCTAAATATCATTTCATTAAGGAAGCGGTTAAGGGAAGGAGCAGTCCCGTGATACTTGGCACAATTTTGTACTTTTATTTATTTCACAAATGACCATGTAGTTTGTATGGGCGCGGTCCTGAGCACGTGGCACCCACTGACTCACTCACACTCACAACAGCCCTCCAAGATTACAGGTGAGGAAAGCAAGGCCCTGGGAGGTTAATTTGCCCCAAACCATACAGCGAGGAAGTGGCCACTTGGGGATTCAAACCCACCCAGCAGGCTGACTCAGAGTCCCCGCCCTAACCTTCAGGCTGCACGCTCTTTGTCTGAACGTATCTGCTTCCAAGCTACAGACCAGGGGCCAGAAAGAGCCCACCCACTCTCTAAACTCAGCTACAAAGGGTCCTATCACCAGTAATGCCGAGCCTTTGCCTCCACGGAGGGTTATGGTTCTACATGCAGGTGTTCCTTCCTTCTAATGATCTAACACACCGGGGAAGTGCACTGCGTTGAAAAATCGCATTTTGCTTAATGATTTCTTACATATGTGCACACACTGTAACCACCACCCCCCCCAGACTGAAATACAGGACCTTTCCACCCCCACCCCAGCCTTCCATGTGCCTCTCCCTGTCAGAGGCCATCTCAATCCGTCCCCAAATGTGACCACTACTCTGACTTTTCACACCACAGGTTAGCATTGCCTTTTCTACAATTTCATGCAAATGGAATCATATGGGGCTTTATATCTGGCTCTATGTTCTTCAAATAAAAACACATAAATAGCCCGCACACTGCCAATGATTGTGGTTGAAAGGAGGGTGCAGTTGAGAGCTTGTTTCGAGTTCAGTGAGCTCCAGGATTGTCTTTATTTTGGCTCACTGACCCATCAAAGGGGAAGATGAGAGGGCTGAACACTGGCATGTGGACCCTTGGGAGTTAACTGTGGAAAACCAGTGATCCGCAGGGAGCAAAGGAGCTGTGCTGGCTGGAGAGGGTACTGCGGAGCCAGGAGGTCACCTCTGGTTGCTCTGAATGACCAGAGGGGAGAAAGCTCTATGAGGTTCTAAAAAGCTCAAACCTGGTTTCTCCAGCGCCCCGGGCACCCGAGGTGGCCACAGGCTCCTCCTCCCAGTTTGGCCTCTGCCTCTCCTTCCCAGACAGGGATAAATTTCCCAAAAGATCAGTAATTCCCCCAAAAGGCGCGTCTCCTACCTGTGCACTGTTGGATGAAGTCCTGATATTCTGCTCCTTGCTCGCCGGGGACGATAGTGGAGCCATCATATTTAAAAGTCACCCTTTGGATTGGGAGAAGAAAAAACACACACACACGTCAGCGTTGGTAGCTGCATGGTGCCGAGCTTCCCGCAGGACAATCTAAAAGATGCTCTGGCTGGGGAGAAGCCAGCGCTGGCTTTCCACGCGTCCTGGGTTAAGGCTGCGGAAGACAGCACCGGATGACCCTTAATCCGTCCCATCTGGAAGACGGCTCCGTGCACCGGGCCCATCGCGAGCTCGGGGCGCGGGGCCTGCAGAGCAATGGAAAGTTCCTCACCAGATGACGGCCGAGCCGTCGTCGCGCACCAGGTTGTACGCCTCCCGGCAAGCCTCTTTGTCAATCTTGGTGGCCATCACTGCGGAGCCGCAGGGGGGACACTCTGCCCAGACAGACCGAGCGCGTCCCGGGCCGGGTGCAGGGATTGGAGCGAAGCTGCGGCGCGCAGAAACCTGGCGGGAGACGGCGGCGGGCGACGGCGGCTGCGATAGCAACGCGGAGTGGCGAGCTGCGAACTCCCGGCGCCGCGGCGGGTGCGAAAGTAACCGAGAGCGCGCCTGGACTCAGGCCGCGCCGCCCCGCCCCCCGGCCGTCCCGCCCAGGTCCCCTACGACCATTGGCGGCCCAGGCCGCGGACGCCACGCCCCCCATGTTCATTGGCCGTTGGGCGTCAGGGGCGGGGCATCTTTACTCATTGGCAGCCAATCTCAGCCCGGGCGGGTTGCGCAATTCCTCAGTGGGGGCTGAAGAAGGGGCTTTTTCCTCCTCCCTCTCCATCCTCCTCCTTTTCTCTCTCCCTCTCTTTCCTTCTTTCTGATTCCCTCTCCTCTTATTCCCTCCCCCTCCTCTCCTCTCCTCCTCTTCCCCCTACCTATTCCCTCCCTCTCCTCTTTACAACCTCCTCCTCTCCCCTCCTGTCCTCTCATTATCCCCACCCCCAGCTCTTTCTTCCTCCTCCTCTATTCCTCCTCCCCCTTCCCTTCTGCTTCCCTCCCTCTTATCCCCCCCTTTCCTTTTCCCTCCCCCTTTCCCCGCCCCCAGCTGCCGAGCTCCACAACTCCACAGGGGACCTCTTAGTGGGTGACTTAATGCATCAAACCAAAGGCGACAGCCCCACCCCCACCCCAGTGTTTGGCTTCGAGATCTCTAGGTGGGGAGGAATTGGACGGAATTAAGCATTTTAAATAGGAGGCGATAGAAAGTGGACTGCTTCCAAAACGTTGGTGGGATCACTGTTTACTTTGTATTCGGGTTATTTGCATTCAGGTCTTATCTCCCCCTTTGGGTTTCTCAGAGTGCAAGAGCTGACTCATTCTGTCTTCCTCATTTCCTCATCCAGTCATTCCACAAAGACCAACTACACTTAGGCAGGTAAAAGGGCTGGACCTTGGAGACCAGTCTCTCACATTGCACCCAGCGCTGTCACTTTCTAACTGTGGATCTTTGGGCAAGCCTCAAAAACTCTGAGATTACTTTTATGGAATCCTATATAATGCAGTGGTTCTCAACCTTCCTAATGCCCCACCCTTTAATACAGTTCCTCATGTTGTGGTGACCCCCAACCATAAAATTATTTTCATTGCTACTTCATAACTGTAATTTTGCTACTGTTATGAATCGTAATGTAAATATCTGATATGCAGGATGTATATTCAGGGGTCGCGACCCACAGGTTGAGAACCACTGTAAGAGCTAATATGCTAATTAGACTGAACAGCAGAACAACCCTCCTGACGACCTTCTGGAGGAAGCCAGGGCTGTAGGGGCCAGTCGAAGCAGGCGGGACTGCGAGGGCTGAGCCCCTTGCACGAATTTTGTGCATTGGGCCTCTAGTAGAATAATACAAGCACTAACATTGTAGGTTGTTTATGGTTAATTGAAATGATATGAGTAAACAAATATATTAGCTAGTAATAAAAGGTCATCACTGTTGGTTATTAAGTAATTAAACTAAATCCCAAAAGATCGAGGAATAATAAAATTCTCAGTGGCATACAAAAAAATCAATAAATCAATTAATCGATGGGTGAATGGAACCACATTTCCAGGAAAGTAGGAACAAATGTTGCTGTTTGTGAGGGAGGACCAAACACTCTTCTACCTCAAGGTTCTTTTGGCTGATCTAATAATCAGATGGGCATCAGACAGCTTAGCAAGAGAAAATAACCAAGTTTAATACATACATATGCGTGGGAACCCTGCATACATGAGAGGTTCCGAGACAGAAAGGGAACACTGGGTATATAAGACATTCTGAGCTGGGGATGAGGTAAGGTACCCTGGAGGCTTCAAAGGAGTATTGCAGGATGAGAAGAGCAGATGCTTGGCGAATAGAGTTTGTCCTGCCCTATAGATAGATCAGAAGAGGTCATGTCTGATAGTGACTTATTGTGGTCAAGGACCTTAACTCAAGTTCTTCTAGGTAGTTAAGGGATGGGTAAGAGTTTTTCTTGAACCCTAGGCTACAATTGCCTTTAGCTCAAAATAATCTGCACACCACAGAGGCAAATCTTGGGGTGACTTGTTCTGAACCCCTGCGCTATAAACAAAAAGACAACAAAAATTCCAATTTGATGCAGCCCAAAGCAGTTCCTACCTCACTCCCTGATAAAGGTAATCAAACAATTGACCATTGGAAAGAAAAACAAAAATGGACCTGTACATCACACCAATGATCATGGTAAATTCCAAATGGGTCAAAAATTTAAATGCAAATAATTGAAACCAGAAAGTTCCAGAAGGCAACAAGGAGAGCTTCCATTGTAAGTCTGGAATGGGCAAACTCTTTCTAACCATTGTTAGGTAGGAAGTTAGACTTGAGTGGCTGGGGTGGGACCTGCCCTGGGGTCCTGAACAGGAGTCAGACCAACATTGCCTTCAGACCGCCCCTCCGTGGGTGGCCCAGCAGCCGGCAGACCGCCAGCGGGCAGGTTCAGAACCAGCCGGCAACCTATCCTCCCCTAGCATTTCACCAGTTACGCAGTTTGGACCCCTGACCTTTCATATCTCTGATCAGGCAGTTTAGTTCCCCCCAACTTTTGCTCCCTAAAGATAACATCTAAGCCTCAGTTGTATTTCAGCTCTAGGCCCAGAAAAGCAGCAAAACCAGACCAGTGACTCTGTGGCTGCTCAGGACCAGCTACATTGACTAACAACCTCTGCCCTGGCACCGACCAAGCAGTGGAGACCAGGCCCTGAAGGAGCACACCCGGAGAGCTGGTGGGTAGTCTATTAAGGCCCGCCCCTGAGACCACCCCTAAGATTTCCACCTGCAAGAGAGAGAGAAATACACTCGGACAAAGGACCCAGCGCGAGCTCTCCCTCCGAGGAGCAGGCCATGCCATTCCCCCACAGGCACGTATCCCCCAACCTCTAAGGGATCCCACAAGACTTGCAACCAGGGGAGCAATGGGCAGGGGCAGCTCGTCCAGAGCTAACCCCCTGCACCTGTCTCCTAAGCCCCCTTTTCTCTGACTTCCCAGTGAGTTGAAGCAGCCCGGCCATTATCTCTCTAGAGTGGCCAGCTCCTCCTCTGCAGTGTATTTTCAGTAAACCCGACTTTGTTTTACTTTCATTTTCATTGACCTTAAAATCTTTTCTGCATTGAGGAGCTGAGGTCCCAGCCAGTAACACCATGATCAAAAGTCAGGAGTAATAACAAAAGATGGATACATTCAAATATTTAAAAAGTCTTGCCCTGTTATCCCATACACCGAAAGGTTACAGATTTGATTCCCAGTCAGGGCATATACCAAGGTTGTGGGTTCAATCCCAGTCAGGGTAGGTATGGGAGGCAACCAATTCATATTTCTCTCTCTCTCTCTTTTCCTCTCTCAAATCAAAACGTATCCTCAGGTGAGAAAAAAAAAAGTAAGTCTTCTTCAAGGGAAAAAAAAACATATTACTTCATGTGTAAAGTGTAAAAGCAAAAGGATGCTCAATATCAACCCCTAATAACAAATGCAAATTAAAGCAGGACTGAGATACTTTTTAAAAAGTTAGCAGGTTGGCAAAAATCAAAGTTTGATGAGCCTGCTTTGTTGGTGAGACTCAGGCCCTCTTACCCATACCAGGTGGGAGTGCAAGTTGGCATAAGCCCCTCTGAAAACCATTTGGCAATATCTAGCAAATTTACCAATCTATGTGCTCTTGACCAATCAATTTCCCCTAAACGGTCAGTGATGCCCATTCCTGGCTGGACACTAAAATCACGAGGATGCCCCGGTCCCACTCTCAGAAAGTCTGAAGTAGTTGATCTGAGGTGGGTTGCCCTGGGTGTTGGGATTTTTAAAGGTGATTCTAATGCACATCTGGGGCTGACAGCCACTGCTATAAATACACTCGTGTGTGTGCAAAATATATTCAATGTTATGCACTGAGCTTTAATGTCTAGTATCAGATTAGGAATAACTGGAATGCCCATCAGTAGGGGGCTGGATAAATGGAAAATGAAACAAATATGCCATGGAAAACTATGAGAGAGAGAGAGAGAGAGAGAGAGAGAGAGAGAGAGGGCCTTCTCTATGTATTGATACAGAACGTTCTACAAGATACATCATGAACAAAGGAAAGCAAGGCACAGAACAGCATATTCAGAACACCTGTTGTCGCTGCCTTTTGGATAAAGTGGAGGACAGTGTGCATGGATATTTGTATTTGTTTGTATGTGTATAAAAACCTCTGGAGGAACACGCAAGAGGAAAAGAACAGTTGTACCGTGGAGGAGCTTAGGTAGGAAGCCAGGCACCAGGAGAGAGGGGTGGGAGGGAGTTTTTACCACATGTTATTTTATTTTATTTTTTAACCATATAAATGCATTATCTATTGAAATTATTAAACAACAAGCAAAGAATGTGGCCCCATCCTGAATTTGACTCCTAGGTTCAGCATGATGAGACCTTTAATGTACTCCACCTGTAACTGCTGTTCTAGTCAGCGTTGCTGTCGCCCTCTGCTGGACTGAAAAAGTAAATGGTTGGTTTTAGAGAGAACCCTGATTTTGTGGACCCTGAAGTCAATTTGCCTAGTTAAGGCAGAAAATAAACTGCACATGAGAAATAAATACTCTGTTAATATTTGTTTAGATTGAGATCCACACAACATAAAAAGCCATCTAATGCAATTTTTTTCTTTAGAAAAGAAACCGAAATATTTGACACTATGTGCTGTGTACTGTATTGAGGATTGAGGGAGTGGTATAAATTTATGCGTTCGTTTGTTCATTCATTCATTCACTCATTCATTCATTTCTGGTGCTGGGCTCGCAAACACACTGGCCTGTAGGGGGCAGACACGTACTGTAAATGAGCCAAGAAAGCACCTGTAAGAAAAATGTTCTGAGTTTTAGATCCTCTCAGTGCTGCCCCGCTCTGGGTGTCAGTTTCTTCTTCAGAACAGACATCTAAGAGGGCTGCTGGTTCGCAGCTCTGCCCTACTTGCCATGCAGGAATCTTAGCATGAACGTGGCAAGCCTTCCAATGGTCTAAGGCCGTGGTCGGCAAACTGCGGCTCGCAAGCCACATGCGGCTCTTTGGCCCCTGGAGTGTGGCTCTTCCACAAAATACCACGTG